AAAGTGACCTGGTGACCTGACCTTGAAAGGTAGGAGGTTCAAATTTGCACACCATGTGTAAAATTGATAAGGGAATAGTCATACCAAATTTCGCGGCGCTACGCGCCGCGGTTTTCCCGCTATTCGCGAAAAACCTCAGGGGGGGGCGGATATCCGCCCCCCCCCGTCGGTGCGCGGGTTAAACCGTTCTTTCGATGGAAATTTAAGTGAGAATTAAGAAACGACAACTGTATTCAGCAGTTAACAGTACACTGCACTGCAACACAACACTGCACTCGCTGCAACACAACAGCGCGGCGCCAACAGAGCAGCAAACTAACACAACCGTAAACACAGCAAGCAAACTAACACAGCCGTAAACACAGCAACCCGAAACGTTGAGCTTTAACGACAGAAGTCGCAAACAAAACCGCGTGGAGTCATTCAGGACACGTGTCCGGTATTACCCCGAGGTCAGCTTTATTTTAAGAAAGCAGGCAGCAGTCAAAGGCATTGCGTCGCAAACGCCTCACATCCAGCAGTCGCTTAAGAAAGGCTTAATTGAAGGTCATCGCAAAGCAGCACTTCTGAAAATGCGTTAACACATTTCACAGTCAGCAAATAGATGCAACAAAAATTAAAAATCAGATACGAAAAACACATTTAACGCTATAAAAATGAAAATAATGGAGCTACCGTGGCAAAATTGCACCACGTGCTAGAATGGCGCTCAACTGAAAGGTAAACAACATCAGCTAATTAGTGATGAACAAAGTACTCACTAGAGATGGGTGGCCGGCATTACCCACCGTCCGCCATTGCCCCACTCTCCCCTATTAGGCACATACACGGTGTCTGTGTACCTACTTATAATGAAGAAACATTATGACAACGTTTGAAACGTTTAACCCGCGCCCGGCTGGGGGTCCTGGATTTCCACGCCCTGCTGGGGGGGGGGGGTGTTTGAACACCCCCCCCCTTGTAACTCGGCTCCTGGGCCACGTAGCGATACGCGGAAGGCGGCGTTCGAAAGAGCGTCAAAAATAATGACGAAATCACTTCGGTCAATTTTTTGGTCAGGTCAAAGGTCAGGTCACTAGAGGTCATTGAAGGCAAAATTTCGCCGATTTCCAGGTCGAATGTCGAAAATTTGCAAGAAGCCAACGCATAACTCGAGAACCAATAGAGCTACAGCGCCGCGGAAAAGCGCATTCGATAGCCCTATTAAAGCCCTTTCTGAGTAATTCTCTCAGATTTGACCTAACGTCAACGGTTTTGCCTGCAGGGGGCAAAAATTGCAAAAATAGCCGATTTTTTCGGAAACAGTTTTTCTGCAATAACTTTTGACCCAAGCCTTGTACGAGCTTCCTTTTACCGGCATTGTGTTCCTCTCGTCAAGACGCATCGAATGAACTATAAGTTGACCTTGAAAGGTCAACTTGAAAATTTGACCTCAGGTCAAGGTCATGACCTGACCGGAAAGGGTCATGTTGCATATCAGTCGATCCGTATCGTCGAGCTGAACACATCTAAGGCGTTTTCATCGCTCTAGCATGCCTCTATCAAAAGTTATTTGCAAAAAAACTGTTAGGTACCATTCGTGACCTAAGATGACCTCAGGGCATAAACAAGGGTCACGGACACCATTTTCATGTTCACATGGTGTGTCAAAAGTGGAAATAGCCGGTGCGCCGTCTGGCAACCCGGCAGCCCGCCGACATAGGGAAATTCATGCTTTTTGTCGTTTTTTTCGCTCCTTATGAGTCACTTGATCTAATTAGAGCTTAACTAGGAACGAGGCGGGTCACTTGGACGTATTCGGGAGCCGAATACGGTGTTTTGGAGCCAATACCTGGGAAACCCTACCCGCCCAATGCGAGTATTTAAGAGTCTGCATGCCCAAATTAACGCTGAGCGCGGCCGTTTTCGGTCGGTTTTCCGCGACCTTGTGGCGAAATCGCCCTATTTATTCAACCAAGGTGGGCTAATTCGCTTAACTAGGAATGAGGCGTTGAAGAGAATTATTCAAGGAATAGAGTTGTGCAAAAATATTTTTTGTATTGTTAAAACTGTATCCGCCCTCGAACGATAAATATTGTTGACCCATCAGGAACACATCCCCTGGAATGCGTTTCGACTTGGCTGGATCTAATATTAGCGAGTATCTGCTAATGCAGTTTCTTGGCTTACACAGTACGCACACAAGCATACATACTTCGTGCCCTTGGTTATCCCTCACTTGAGTGAAAATTTTGCTATAATAACCATTCCAAGCAGTTAACAGGTTTTAGTGCAGTGCCAAGTCGGAACCGTTCAGCGCCGCCAGTCTCCCAGGCGGCGCGTAACGGCCGCCGCCGGCCGCGCGCCGCCGCTCTGGCAGGGTGTTTGACTTCATATCTCTGTTGCTAGAAAAGTTGTGGACCGATTTACATGATTCTTGCATGAAAAGATCCGCAATTCAATTCTTAGCAGATAACGAAAATTTGACGTCAATTGCACGATCCGCTGCCCATATTGTGGTACTGCCATCTATTGACAAGGCTGGCGAACTAAAGCCGGGCGGCTATTTCCACTTTTGACACACCATGAGTGTGTCTAAACCACTTGTAATTCGGTGTTTGGGATCGTTTATAATGTCTTTTGTCCAAAAGAGGCGCATTTCAATTTTCTCCCATTGACTTATAAAGGGGAGGTCGCAAAATTGACCTGACCTTAGGTCATCGATATCAAAATTCTGAGATATAGGGGAAGTTGGGGCAATGCCGGAGTTGGGGCAAAGCCGAAATTCGAGATATTTCGAAAACCGTAAAACATGGATGCCACCTGTCAGTGATGCTCTGAAGCTTAAGTGACTACAATTATCGCATGTTTGTTACGAGTCGTCATTCGGAATACTTCGACTGTGAGGGCGCCAAGAGCGTTTTCAAGGTACGTTTCCCTTGTACTACATGCGCCTTTGAAGCTGCATTTTTTACTCATTATGCTACCGTTTGTCTGGCCAATTCGGTCAAGTAATCTTTAGCATGTCTTTGCATAAGTGTGCTGCCTATTTGAAATTTATACAGCACGTTGAAAAGTTATGGGCCTGCAAATGAAAGTATGGCTGGCTGGGGTAATGCCGAAAACGTGCGATTACGCACGTGTTAAAAGCACGCTACGTGGACTTTACTGCTGTAGAATAGCAACGCGTATTTTTAGTCACACAAATTACACTTTCAACCAACACAACGGCCTGTTACCTATAAGGAATGATTTACCTGGCATTTTCTTATTATATCACACAATTATAACTTCCAGTGTGCACCGCGTCCTCAAGCTCTTGAAACGTGTGTCAGCTTTGATGAATTCTGGATAAAGTTTGAGATAAAATGGCAAAACATCAATGTCCGCATTCCCCGTAGATCATTTCTCCCATTTTCGGCTTTCCCCGCAGTCCGGGGCAACGCCGAAAAAGTCACTTCTTTGATATTTTTAGTTTGTGCGCTTAACGGTATGCGAATTCATCAAATGCGCCTGGTATGTTTGAAAGGCAAAAGACTGGCCTCTCGAATGACGCCAACAAGAATAGCGTATGTTGTCTACCTTGCGTGCTACGGGCGTCAGAAAAAAAGTCTTCGGCGTTCCCCCAACTTCCCCTACATTTTGTACATGCTATTGCTCTTAGCAATCGCTGAAAGTTTCAAAGCGATCGGTCACTCGGTGTAGCTATGACAGACATTGGAACTTTTTATGAGGTGAGGTCACTTCAAGTGACCTGGTGACCTGACCTTGAATGACCTTGGTCTGAAATTTTCACAACATGTGTAGAATTGATGTACAATAAGGTGTACCAAAAACGGCGGCGCTCCGCGCCGCCGTTTTTGCCGCAGCAGGGCGCGCAGCAGGGCGCGGGTTAACACAACCCCTCCTCTAAATGCATTTATGAAACGTGAGTGGGCCAATAAAGGCAACTAGTTTTAACTGTAACAAAAAAGCACTTCTGGGCACGTAAATGGGGTAAATGTGGAAATGTAAAATTCACCACCCCATATCGCCTCTACCGGAAACCCGTTTTAACCCCCGAAGGACATTGGCAATAGAGCAGGATCGTTCATGTTTATCAAAACAGCCGGCAACTTTCTATCGCAGCGAAAGGCTGACTAGGACGAGAGTCATTGCTTTCACTGACTATGACAAACCTACTCGAACGGATTTTCACCTAGGAAGTTACCAAACGAATGTTGAAAAATACATCAGCACCATCAAAAAACCTTACCCACCATCCTCAGCAACGCCGCCTCCCGCCGGCGTCCACCGGAAAAGGGCGGCAAACGAGCGAAGTTTAAATTGTCAGAAGTGATTCCAGACAGCAGCACCTGATTAGAATAAAATGCACCTTCTCATATTGCCCCGGTACCCCGTTATGCCCCACCTTCCCCTATTTAGTTATAGGTCTGGCAACTATACTTTCATCCTCGTAAAGGAAGTAACCACAGCGAATCCGCACGACTAAATCATCAGGTCGCCAAAAACTCGGCAGTTACAGGAAAACTCGATCTTGTCCATTCCATGTCGTAGACTATATATTCCGTGCTAATACGCTACGTAAGTTCAATCGGTAGGTACTATAAAACATCCATGCCAGATTCAAATAACAGATCGATTAACTGCTGAAGGTAAACAGCTTCATTTTTATGTCTTCCTCGGGTAAATGATTATCTTTCGTTTTCGTTTCGGGCTTCACTGAGGCGAAGCAAATATTTCGGTTTTATTGAATCTTTAATACCTACTTCTTTACCTCAGTGTAGCCCGAAATTAAAACGAAACGTGAACGGCTTTATCAAGTTAACCTATCGCATAGCTAGGACGAAAATTCGCCTTGTTTTGATATACATATGCCACAGATAACAGTAGTACTACAGTAGTACTACAGTACAGTAACAGTAGTACTACTGTTATCTGTGCATATGCCTATTTTAGTATTTTATGCAAAACCGGTACCAAACGGAAAGCGCTTCAGCGTGCTATTACTGACAGCTTGAGTTAGATTAAATGGGCATAAATGTAACTTATCAAATAGCTTCAATAGCATTGATGGCTGCCCCACGTCGCCGTCCTTACCAGCCTAGTTATTTCCGTCCTGTATCGCTGCCTGCGACTCGAAGAAGGACCGTGGATACATCCTATTCCTGACAGCTTTGGCTGTGCGCCAAGTCCGTTGACTGCAGAAGGGCGGCTGTACCCGGTCCTGTAAACATTGCCTGCCCGCCAGCCCAGTCCCGACCTCCCTCCCTGCCCCCGGGAGTCCGCGGAGGGCCGACCCACGCGCCGCAGACAGCTAGCGTGCAGTTTTGAAGTCCAGTGGGCGAGTGGCGTGACCGTCCCTACCTACGAGACATCGGTGGGGCAGGGCCCGACCCAGAGAAGGTTTTCCTGCACCGCCCTCTGGAGCGCGTGAGCTGGAAACCGTAATTGTGCTCAAGGTCTGCTGAGGACGTGCGGGGCGGGTGTGGGGTGGGGCGGGGTGTGCTGTCTGTGAGCCCGTGCAGAGGGCAGTGTGAGCCAGCTCTCCGCCGGTGACAGTCCGCCCGGTCCGCAGCTGGCTGGCGTGCACGGTGGCGCGCGTCACGCCTTACGCTCGTGACGGGGTGGTGACCGGCGCGGCTCGTGACGTCGTGACGCAGCGTCATGACGGCGGGAGGAGGGGACGGCTGTACCGAGCCGGCCGGTCTGACACAGGCCCAGTTCCGGAGACGGTTCCACTACAGGCCGCCGCAGCGGGACAAAGGTAGGGACGACTGTCGACAGAGGCCTGCTGCTGACAGTGATTGAATTTTTATGCCACGAACTGTGGAGTGTTTCGAGAACCTAACAGCATTTTATAGGTTGAATTATGCACTTCATATAGGTAGACATTCAGGCCTGCATTTATATCAGGTAGGATCAAAGGACTTGCGGTTAAACATAATATAAATTTATGAGTGTGAATTTGATGTATGGCGTATGCTCGTATCAAGAATTTTGATCTACGATAAACGCTTGCTCAGCGCCATTGCCCTTTATCACGAATGTAGAACTGTCAATTGGCTGTCACCGTTGAAGCGTTCGTGTTTGCCCCGTTGACCTTCCCTTCCCGTCCCCTGTCAGGCGGCCCAGAGCGACTCTGGCGCTCCTGTCGTCCCGACACCGCCTGCGTCTCACGCTGCCTCCGCCGCCGTCTACCGATCCTCGCCTGGCTGCCCGCCTACCGTTACCATGACGACCTGTTTGGTGACGTCATCGCAGGCACCACAGTGGCCATCATGCACATACCACAAGGTAAGTGGTCGGCTTCGATATCCATTTCGGATATGATTGCATGCTTGCGAATTCAATCACATTTGGGCCGGATTTGATCCGTGTCCCACCTGCTACTGTAGTGTGGAATCTTTCAATGGGCTATTTTTACCGAGAAAGAAAATGGTCCACGAACTGCGCCTGCTGGCTTAAATGACCTAAGCTGCATTTTAACTTCAGCATTGTTTTATGTACGGCATTAAACGTCTTTCAGTTTAAAAATTTCAAGTTTTTGCCATCATTTTTCGTTCTTAGACCTTACCTAACTATAACTCAGTCAATAAAAGGCAAGTTTTTATTGTTGCCTAATATTTGTCTTTTCAGACATCGCATTATGTACTTTGAAGAATTTAATAGATTTTGACTTATCATTTTTACTCATTTCAAATTATTTTAGAACGGTTTCCCGTTTGGATAATTCAATAACCAAACTGATGCAATAAGAAGACGTAACGATCCAACAAGTGCAATCTATTCAATCGATTTCACCGCTTACCTGGGTGTTTTCCACCCCGCACAGGTATGGCGTATGCTCTGCTGGCGGGCATCCCGGCCATCCACGGCCTCTACATGGCGTTCTTCCAGTGTCTGGTGTATGCCGTGATGGGGACGTCGCGGCACCTATCTGTTGGTGAGTGAACACACGGTCTACCGCCGTATGGTGGGGGTATGAGGGGTATAAGGCGGTAAGGCAGTCCTGCAGTCTGCTTTGCCTTGGGACGACTGGATTTGTTAGTGTGCTGGTGTCAGTAGACGGTGGATGCGGATGTGGGATTTACTGCAGACAAGGCTATGAAGACAACTCACTTGTAGTTGAGGAAGATGGATGCCTGGAGAACGAACTTCACCGAATACGTTCCCACTATACAATACAATTTAGTGCAAATTGAAAGTCAAGTAAAAGAAAGGCGTATTAATCTTATCGTTAAATAACCTTTCTTGGAAGTGATGCGTTAGGTAGACTGTACCGCAATGTTTTTATGTATTGCGGCATAGCATTTCCACCACGCGCTAATCGTCAGACTAACGAGAGCAATCATAAACCGGGTGATCGAATGAATGAATGAATGAATGAATGAATGAATGAATGAATGAATGAATGAATGAATGAATGAATGAATGAATGAATGAATGAATGAATGAATGAATACAGTTCAACTGCTAGCCTCATGCTTTAGATTGGAACATTTCGAAAACCATAATGGAGCACATAATGCAGAAAACTAACACATAATGCAGCTCAACTTGAACGTGTTGCTCCGAACTTGATCATGCTAACCTACCGCCTGCCCCGCCCGTTCACTCTGAGACCGACAGGGACATTCGCTGTCACGTGCATCATGACTGGGAAGGTGGTCGTCGAGTACTCGGGCCCAGCGGCGGCCCGGACGGGTGCCGTGTATGACCCCGTGTTGGTGGCCACAACCGTCACACTAGCCGTGGGCATCATCCAGGTTTGTGTACCTACTGCACGGCGGGGCAGATTACCCGGAGAAGGGGGAAGTGGTGAAAAATTGGAGCGTTATCTGGGATAAACGTCACTTTGTTGCATTAGTACTGTTAATGAGCTCAAATGTTTCGTAACCTCAGTTAAAACGGATGCAATACGCTCGGTAAACGGTTCAGACGAGTTGAGGTGTTATTAGAAATGTCCGTGATGGAGCACTATGAAACATTCGCTCAATACAACGCTGTCTGATTTGACTCAGACCTAGCCGAAACGATTCTTTGTACATATAATATGCACTCTCTGCAACTGGAATATTGCTGCTGTTTCATTCGCTCACAGCACGACTCATTCGCGGTGCTCGTTTATACAACATGACGACTAGTGGTGCCAATTTCATGAAATTTCAATTCCAATTCCGATCCAATTCCAAGAAATTGCCAAGTAAATTTCCAATTTTGTCCAAAGCGGGGGCTATTCCAATTTTTAACGATTTTTGCATTTTTTGCGTAAATTTTAAAAGTGTTAAAACACGTTTTAAAGGCCTCCGTTTTAAAATTTTAAATTTTAAAGGCCTTGTGTTCCGATTAATTTCCAAAAAATGTTAAGAATTCCGTCCAAATTCCAAATTGGAATTGGACAAAAATTGGAATTCCAAGAAAAGAAATTCCGATTGGCACCAATAATGACGACTAACCGCATTGGTCCCATCTGCGCACAGTTGGTGCTGTTCTCGGTGCGTCTGACGGCGCTGGCGGTGGTGCTCTCCGAGATGTTGGTGCAGGGCTTCACCACTGGTGCCGCGGTGCACGTACTACTTTCACAGGTGCCTAGTCTGCTCGGCCTGGAGCGACCCCTCTTTTCGGGACCCGGCCGACTGCTCAAGGTATGTGCTGAAGAGCGGCCTCTAATGGCTGCCTGCAGAGAGGATTTGTGTGACAGAGAAGAATATTTTTTTGAGAAGCCGAGCATTACGGGAGTTGTGTATCACTTCGTAATGGTTAGTGTCACAGACAATCGATAGTTCCTAATTTGATCCAGCAGGATAAGCTATCAACATTCAACATCTCATTGCTTTTCGACTAACGCTTTAATACCGTCCTATAATGTCGCTGAACAAGAAATTATAGCGGGAACACATTGTCATAGATTGTTGACATTGTTCTGTTTTCTCCTTATTTCAGCTTACGGGTGCCATCATCCAGAAGCTGGCAACTGCTAATACAGCCTCCATTGTGATATCTGCAACGACCATCGTCATCCTTGTGCTCAACAACGAACTCGTCAAGGTATAAGAAAACAGCTCGCTGCATTATCGCTACTCGTTCACTTTCTTTGGGCTTGTCAATTAGTTCACGTTTCTAACTTTGTGATGATATCAGTGGAATCGTTTTTGTCACTCTACAGAAGACTTCTTAAAAACACGAAACAATCACCGTCCACTGTTAATTTTTGACTTGGCAAACCGTCCATGCCCCACAGCCCAGACTGGCCAAGTGGACCCGCGTGCCGTTTCCCATCGAGCTGCTGGTGGTGCTGGTCGGTACACTGGGGTCCTATCTGGGAGATCTGTCCGGGCGATACGAGGTCCAGGTCATCGGCAACGTTACAACAGGGTGAGGACAAATCGTCGAGCGGAGGGGATGAAATGGGGAACATGACTCCTCGTAGAATTTTGAGCATAACACGCAACTGTTCGTAGTATTTTGAAGCTTGCCTCTGCTCAGTAGGTGCATTTCGTAAATCAATCTAAGTTGAATTGGATAGTCCTCGAAACTGACTGCGCAAAGATAAAATAATTGCGACTCACTTACTTAGCCTCTGACGGTCATGTTCAGTGAAATGAATTTCTTCGTATAGCTCAGACTGCGGCTGAAGTCCTTGCAAGTTGTAACCCAGACGGCTTCGTTGGCTGTAACTAAATGTCTCCCCGCCCCCCGTCTCTAGTCTGCCGCAGCCGAGTAGTCCGTCCCTGGTCCTCCTGCCTCGCGTGTTACTCGACTCAGCAGTGATAGCCGTGGTCACCTACTCTGCCGGCCTGTCCATGGCCCAGCTGCTGGCTACCAAACACGGCTACACCGTGGACGCCAGCCAGGAGATGCTGGCACAGGTGAGCCGAGTCCGTGCTGGCTGTCGTGAAGACGTCTGAACAGCAGTGGCTATCCGCTCGATCGTTATAGAGTATGGACTTTATGTACTGTGTGTCTTACTCACCACGGAAAGTGAGCTCTGTGACTTTCGACATATTTCGTGGATAACCTCCACGACACTGAGATTCACTTTCTCCAAATTATGCACAATATAGCATATGCTTGGCTCTCAGTGATTTCTGACACCCTTCCCTCCCTCCACAGGGTGTCGGTAACCTATTCTCGGCCTGGTTTCTGTGCGCTCCAATGGCCGCCTCTCTGTCTCGCTCTCTGATCGTGGACGGAACCGGCGGCCGGACCCAGGCCTCTGGGATTATCACCGCTCTGCTGCTGCTGGCTGTGCTTCTATGGCTCGGACCGCTCTTCTCTCTGCTGCCAAAGGTGAGGACATGCTGCTGAGTGCTGAGTGCTGACAGTTTGATACATTACTGCAACAATGGTAAGGGGTGATATCGGAGTGCCGTTTAGTTATCATAAAGTGCGATATTACATAGCTGTGTGGGGATAAGCCGCCAATTCATAAATAACATTTATTTTACATATTAAACTCATCGTCGATGCCGTGTTACCTATAACTATTCAGTTCTCGGTTCTCCCCATCGGCAGTGCGTGCTCAGCGCCGTGATCGTGGTCTCGCTGAAGGGCCTGCTCAGCCAGCTGGTCGGCCTGCCGGCCCTGTGGCGCTCCTCCCGTGCCGACGCACTCGTCTGGACCGGAACACTGCTGGCCGTGGTCCTTATCGACATCGCCGCTGGTTTGGCAGTCGGGGTGCTGCTGTCGCTGGGCGTGCTACTGTGGCGCCTCCAGCGGCCGCCGGCGGAACTACTGGGACGACTGCCCGGCTCGCAGTATTACGTGTCGCTGGAGCGATATCAGGCGGTGAGTATTTGCAACTGGTTCCATCTGCTATCAGACGAAGGATATTTCATTGATATCTAGCTTAGATATGTGTCTGGCTCCATGATAAGCCTGGGGAATGCAAGGAAACACAAACTTGCGTTAATGGTTCGATTCATTGTCACTAGATGGCAGCACTAGTCAACGCCTGAAGTTATGCTGTACCGCAAAATTTCAGCATATCGACCGCACAACGTATTCCAAGCAAGCATTCATGTCCTCTAATGGTTTTAAAGTAAACATTTTTGCACATTTTCAGTCACTGATAGTTGATTAAACATTAAACATTACTCCTCCCCTACACAGGCCGAGCCCGTGCCGGAAGTCTGTGTTTTCCGGTTCGGCGGCGCGCTGCACTTTTGTAACGTCGACTACTTCCGGCGGAGGCTGGCCACACTGACGGGACTGGAGAGAGCCCGCCTTTCACCGACCGAACGTCACGTGACCTCCGAACACAACTGGTGCCGCCCCGCCTCCGGCAGCAGACAGGACACGGAGGTAAAGTGATGAGAGCTGAGTAGAGGCTGTGGTAGAGATCGGTTATGATGTAGTGGCTTTGGTGGAGGGCTTAAGCTGTTTGTTGTATCGTTAGTTGCTATCTCGAAGGCTGTTGAATTTGAAAGAAATTACCTGTCAAGTATTTGAGAAATATTGTTGAGAAATATTGTTGTTGAATTGCTTCTCATGTTTCTTTTGTCATAACATAGTAATTCGAAAGTATCGTTTCGCTTTCGCTCAGCTGTCGTTTTATCGGTGGTGGCTTTGGAGACACATAATAATAGCAATGACTGCTTAGCGCTACTTCGCCATAGTTTTAACGTTGTTGAGGTGCCATTCAGAAATATCGCACTTCTCTCTAGTCTAGCCAGACATGGTCTCTAAAATAGTCGACCCCGAAATACTAACTCATGTTCGTGGTTCGTTCATGCAGCTGCTTACGCCACTAACGGCAGATGACAGTGACACAGAGGATTTCTGTCGTGTCGAGAGGCATTGCTACCGTGCTCCCAAAGAGGTGAGTTGCTGAACAGCACAGCAACCTAGCCTGACATCACCTGCGTTATATAAGCGTTAAATTTGGCAATAAATTAGACACATTTTAAATTTCCGTGTGCATTTGCAACAGGGCAGAAATCAGTTCGATCATAATGAAAAATGCGCAAGGGCTGCCATATTTATCCAGATATTTGAGTTATCTGAAATAAATTATTTTTGTAAAGTGCAACCAACTATTTACATTTTACGTTTATTTACAGGATCGGGACGCTATAATAGCTGAGGAAGGCGGCGAGGGTAGCATACAGCTAAAGGTTAGAACGTTTCAGAGATTTTGTGTTTTAAATAAAACCAACTGAAGGGCTTACATATTGCGTAGGACATATCTCCAAACGTTGCAGGCATGATTGATGATATTCATACAGTTATGAACATTGAAGGGCTTCGGTATTTTTCAAAAGTCTGCAGGGATCTTAAATCCTCTGTCGGCGCCTTTTGCCATCCTGCGAAAAGCAATCTGTAATATCCTCAAGCGCTTGCAACTCTTCTCTCTGCCGAGTTTCGTCGAGCTATGATTTATCTCCTCTTCCCCTTACGCTGTGTCATATTTCAGTTCTCGTGGCTGGTGCTGGACATGAGTCGAGTGTCCTTCACCGACTCCACATCCACGCGGGCCCTATTGGCCACCGTTCGCGACTACCAGGAGCTGGGCGTACACTGCTGCCTGGCCGGCTGCACAGGTGGGACATGGCCGCTGCTGCGAGCAGGCAGGGTCTGTGCTGTCGCAACTGACAACTTCTAACAAGATATCAGCTTTGTTCACTGATAATGAATGTTTACTTTTTGACGTTAAAGCTTTTACAATATTTAGCAAGCTAGTCTTGACATTGCGTAATATGGGCATTGGTCGTAATATGGTCATTGTACGGTCTCGTTTTTCGCGAGTTTATCGTATTCTGATGCCTAATTCACTGTGGTCCAATTTGTTTTTAATTAGGCAGATTTATCGAAAGTTACTACATGCATACGTCAAGTGGAATATTTCGGTCCGCTGACGTGTTTTGATGTTATTTCAGATGCTGTGCTCGATATGCTGCATTCATGCCGAAGCCCTCTGGAAGAGAAGCAGATGTACCCGACAGTTCAGGATGCGGTGAGCTCTATTTTCACCTCGGAAACTGGTCAGGGGAACGCTTCGGAGCACTGCATCGAGCGCTAGTCTGTCGTCTTTGCTCGCTAGCTATAGGCAGCAGACTGGACTAGCTGACCTACAATCTGACTAGTCATGTTTAGTCATCTCGTAGCCAGACCAACTATTGATCGGTGATCGTAACTAGTACACACTTATTGGGACCAGAACGACTACCTTTAGTGATATACAGTAATACGAGGTGAGACTTGTACCAGAAAAGGGTGATATCCAGTGAAAAGTTCGTCGAGTTTTTGCCATGCTTTCATACGACATAGTCAGTGAATAGTTGGGTGTGTGAACCATTTGTGTGAAAGGTGTCTTGGAGTTGGAGGCAAATCTCATACCACAGCAAGTACGGTTATTTTAGAAGACCAAAGACAATAAGTTGCTACATAAGAATGGGAGTGAAGAAGTCGTTTGAACTGAAGTGGTAGGGTCAAATAAAACTGAAGTAGGTCAAGTAGAATGGAGAGTGTCACCAATGTTCTGCAGTCAGCGACGGCCGTTTTCCTTACGAGTTGTGGTAGGCTAGCGTAGCGTATGAAACTACAGTGCTGTATGCTGATCTCGACGAGATAAACGGGATGAAAGCTCATGCACTAAGGTTTTGATCGTATCTTGGGGATTTCATTATTTGCCAGGGATGACTACCATCGGCTGCCCCTAATATGTTGCCATATGGTCGATGATATATGATTCGTCTGTAAGATGTAAGTTTGTTTGTTAATAAATTCGTAATCGTAGAGAATACAGCAATGCTGGATTAGACGATGAACGAAGATGATGACATTTATGGGTAGAGTATGTAATACGAACTATGCAATACATTACATTGTCTTCAGGCAGGTATCAAATCAGGCATCGTTTTCTTCCTGTTTTGCTTCAAAGCAACTGGAGATCGCTTTTCAAAACAATTTGATTCGATATGACACAGAATGTATTTATTTTAGATATATGTATATGAATGCATTTTAACGTAATGCGATAGAAACAATAGCCTTTGGATGCAATAGCGTCAGGTAATATAGTAGCTCAAGTCCGGTGCTGCGTTTCAATCCTGAATGACGCATGCCTTCCGCCCAATCAGGTGCACAGCACACCACAGAGCACTGAGCACTTTACCATGTGTTGCAGATAGATACAGTATAAAGCACACAGCCAATTGTCTGTCATTTCATCACGGTGCTCTCTGCTCAATCGCCCACTCCGCTGGTTTGATAGCCCGACCCCCACGCTGGTCCGGCCGCCGTACCCCTGGTGTCTGGACCGACTACTGTAGGTTGTACGAGCCACCGCCAGGGGCGCTGTCGTCGCTCCCCTGGCTCCAGCGACTGTTACCGGTATCGATGGCCGTCTGACGTCCGGAGCGGACCCCCCACATCGGCGGCGGGTCATCGTCGTCCTGGCTCGGCTCCGAGGCGGCCACATGGACCCCCTTATGAACGGGCCCTTTGTCTGAAGAAAGAAGGCTTGTTTTAGTTAGGTAGATAGGTAAATTGACTGGATTGCGGCATTGGAGATTGGCACTTTTGTTGACAAATGTCACCGTAGCTAATAGAGTTCACGCCACTGAGATATAGAGTCAGACTCACCTTTGCCGGTCACTTTGCTGAGACTGTTGGTGATGGCTGGAGGCAGACGGATCTCGGGAAGCTCTCCCGACTCACGCAGCTGAACAAACTGGTAAATGGCGTCCGCTAGGAAAGTACTGAACGCCAAAAACCCAAACACCTGATGGGCAAACGATAATGCTGTTAGTCACTTTATTATTTTTTCATAATTGGTCCGTCACATACACCACAGTCGAATTTTGTTTAGTTGTGTGCTGCAGTACAGTCTACTTTCAGGCGTTCTGCTTCGTACTGCCATCTAGTGACAAAATATAAAGCTGACTGTATTGCGGTGCAGCCTACATTCAGGCGTTTGACTGCTGTCGACATCTAGCGGGAAAATATAAAGCTAAGCTAGACATAGCATATCTGTGCCTAAGGTGAACTAAATTGTAAGGTTGGATGCATGGCCGACAGGCTAATAAAATTCACGATGACTTTTAATTACTTTGGGTGCATCAAGTTTACATAGCAGCTGGTTTGAAAGGTCTTGGACTCTTGGCCTTTCAACTGTGTCGTTATAGTGGTGACCGAGGCCCTTGATGTTTAGGCTGTCCAATCATCGTAAGGCGTAAGGCAACTATTGTACCAAGTACCTTTCAGGTTATAATAATCATTATTATTTACCGATGATGCGCGGAAGCCGGGAATCTGTCCACCAATGCTGAGTTGTGCCGAGGAAGCAGCCATCAGGAAGAAACTGCATACACCCGGGGCTGCCACCACCTGATGGATGGAAAACAAATTACGGTGACAAATACTTCACCCTTAAGATGTTTCGGATTCTTTACACTTATCTCAGATCAGATTTCATCTAGAATAGGATACTGCAACAATGGACATACTGATATTTAGGTCTTCATAGACACCCGGCGATTATCCTGCTCCCTCACATACACATAATAAAGCACCGGTGTTTCTTACCATGATTACCGTAACCTAACCGTATACTGGGAGAAAGTGTTTTTTTTTTCTGGAATAGTAAAGTAAAACGACTCCCCGCCTTGCCTCTCACACACACGCCACAGTCCCGCACACGTACCGAGGCCCTCCACCAGGTGGTATTGCTGTAGTTCTGGTCGACATGACAGCCACAGAGTGAGCAGCAGCAGCACGGAGCTGATGAGCGCCAGGCAGGCGCACACAGAGAGGAACGTCCTGGCCGGGTACGGCAGGAACGGGTGCCACGACAGCTCGTTGCAGAGGAAGCAGAGAGCGCACAGACCCTGCCGGAGACAGGGGCAGAGGTCAGGGGTGTTACCAAAGCATGCACAACAACAGACGGTCCCAGAGGGCCTCGTGTGGTATAGAAATGCGCTGGGACTGGGAGGGGCGATGGATATCACCAATTAGTCATAAAGGATGCCCGTTCCAGTGCAAGATGCAAAGAAAGAACGTCCACAATTACCACTTGATCACATTTTCACTCATGTTTTAGATTATGAAATTATACGACAGCACGTCACCTATCCAAACTGTTAGTTAGGGCTTCAATCAATAACATTTACCGATTCGGTGAGTTTGAAGAAGGCTGACCAGGTGCGCAGGTAAGCTCTATCAAAGCGTCTCTCCGGCGCTGCCGGCGCCTCCACATCCTCCATGGTGCGAGTGTGTGCTGATTGTTCTGAAACATGTCCGTAAGATGGTGACCCAAAGACGTTGTGGAAAACGTGAAAAATGTATAATGCCAAGTAATAAAACGAAGCTATCTTTGTCAATATTACTAGCGAGTAGCGACCTATTCCTCGTTTCGTATGTGACCATTGCCGTTTTCGTTTCAGAACTGTTATGTTCAGTTATGCACTTCAGTGTACATTGTTGAGGAGGCCAAGACCCCAGTAACAAGTTGTGAGTGCGTGTGGGCTATAGCTACCGGCTACCGCTACCTAGTGCCGCTATCGCAGTGTGAACGGGTTCATTCAATACCTATGTCATAGTGTACCAGCCAAAGCATATTTCCCATTGATTCTATCGTAGGGAAAATGCAGTGCTGCATCATCAGTTGACCTTTATCGCCGCTACTGCAAATGCCCGGGCAGGCACCCGACACCGATAAAGCGAAGCGATAGTTCACGATACTGCGCAGCGATCAAATCGCCAGCAGCGGATGCGTCCGTTAGGCATCTCTCTTCTGAGATAGTTCCTGAGTATGATCATAATGTAAATACAAAAATGTAAAACAACAACGTTTAACCACTTTTTCAAGTGATGTAGTTAGTTAGTGTCCCACAGCAGCTCCAGCAGCTGGGAAGCTGTTCATTGAGAGCCCGGATCAATCACTTACATAGTCCGGTGACGGCGGAAGTCGTTGGTTGCCTCCACTCGTGTCGGAAGGATGCGGGGTCGATGGCAGGGTCGAATTTCCGGCAGGTCACAGGACAACACGATGTCACAGTCACCGCAGAGTCACGGGGATATCCGTTCCTCACAGTTTACCAAAAATTGCCCAGCGCCAGCCGCCAACCGTGGCCTCACAGCACAAACACTGACGTTTGTGCCACTAAACACCCTTGGAGCACGCCACTTTACACCCGGGACCACGTCACTTAACACCTCAGAGCGCGTCACTGTCACTAGGCTCGCTGCGGCCGTGGCCGCGGCGTGGTTTTCCGTGGCACTACCGCGCCCGCTCGGCCGAACTGCTCGGCGGCTCTGACTCCCGGCGGACGGACCGCAGCGGCACTATCGGCTGGTCTCTGCCGCTCCTTCCTGCCCCTCACCGGAACCCGCCGTCTCGGTGGTCAGTCGCGGAGGGGAGCGAGCGCACTGCCTTAGCCGACCGTGAGTCACATTCTGCACTCGGCAAGCGGGATCGGTCGTGATTCCGCATGGATATGAGAGTGCATTCTGCGGTCGGAGCTCATGACAGTGCAGCGAGGCAGCTGCTTATTAAGATCAAACCATGTGGTATACAGACACTCGCTCCCCCCTCCCCCCCCCCCACACACACACCACAGCGCACTGCACCACATGTCATGACGTTTACGCCCCCGACAGTACTCCACTCTAGTCACCCCTCCCCAGTCCCCAGTCTGTCCAGCCGCCTCCCCCTCCCCGCGTGCGTAGCTTTCCACTAACAGTATTGAATTACAACCGGAACCCACCCGGTCGCCAGGACTGGCCTGGCCCACAGCGCGGCACTCCCCGTCTGGATATCCTCCAGCGGTGTGACGTCAAAGGTCGGGTCCCCCGCTCAGCTGGCTTGAGAGATCCCCTCCCCCTACCACCGCCGCGGTCGACGACGGAGGGGATGACAAGGTGGTGTGTATGGAGTGAGCAGGGGAGGGACTCCGAATGTTGGCTCAGTTGTGATGTGGAATGTGGTGTGGTAATTAGTTATGCTCGTAGGTTCGTACCTGGCTGAATCACGTCCTTTGATCATATCTACTAGTGTTTCATCACGGGTTAAGCTCGAGCATAAATTTTCCTTGTGGTGTGGTGACATAACTGAAATCGTGATATAATCCCTCAAACTCGACGAAGTACTGGCAAACTTCGTCTCATGATGTTTTCAATGTAGGTAGGTGTGCCATCGTGGTTGGCCTCCATTGTATTGCAGCTCTAAACCCATAGATACTTATCACACGACGTTCGTTTTTATCAGCAGACACCCGTTGCTCCCTAAGCAAACATCACCGCTGCGATTATCGGGTATATTTTGCGCCGCGATACCAGGTACGGGTCGGTCGTCACATAATCACATCACAGGTGATTCACATTTCACACCGCATCACCCACCGACTTGACTCGACTCTGTCTGGACTCGACGGTCGACTCGAGTCAGTGCAGCATTACAGTCGTAGACTCGAGTCGATACAGCATTCCGGAGTCAGTGCATCGGCTGATCGAGGTTATCGACGACTGGCGAGCTCGGAGCGACACGGTACCCATCCCGGCACATATACACGTATGGCGGTGACGTGGCGTCAAGCGAGACATCATAGTGGACGTGACCTCTCCGCCACGTCACACAGCTGGGGATGCTGAACACGAGGTCGCGGGTACAGTCGTCGTTCAGCCGATACGACACGGCAGGCATGCCGCATGTGCTATACCCCGCCCCGTCCTCTTCGCATGACTCGCGCAAAATATATTCGTCATTCCGACAAAACGATACAGCCAGTCGTTCAAACCATTCGGTAATGACACGAATAGAGTTGACATTCGTAGCGGATATGCACGATTCGACACAACACCTTCCGATCACACCTCTTTTGAAGACCCTTCTGAGCTCAGGGAATATGGGTCCGGAGATATGGCCAAGGATGAGGGTACCACCATGAACATCGTCGAAGTTCCGCGGTTACATTAGCACTCTTCGCACCTAATTTTCATAAAACGACCACTCCCCACGGCGAGGCAACACTATTCATTCTAAACGTCTCTTAATGATGCCTCTCATTGCAGCAGCCCACTTCTCATTGCACACTCTCACACTTCACATCGCTCGCAATTAGACACTTCGCTTCCCCGCAGTTGGATACAACTAAACAGTACACAATTGGATACGGTATCTACCTACATCTCCTCTCCCCACTCAGTTTTTCTCCCTGCGTCCACCGCTCGCCCCTACAGACCCAGCGAGCCGCACTGTCTGTGCGTATCTCCTCTACCGACGCGTCAGCTGACCTCGACCTGGGGCCGGGGTCGGGCCGACAGTGCTGCCATCTCTCGGCGGTGCAGCTCCTCACTGCGCCGGTACTCAGCCTGGAGGGCGGCCACCCCGCTCAGCCCTCCGCTGCCGCCGCCGCCACTGGGGGAGGAGTACATCTCGCACCAGACGGGACAGTGGGCACTGACCACGCCGCCCCAGCGCCAGCCGTGGGGGATCGCCAGGTGGGAGAGGCCGGTACGGACCACCGAGTAGTGACCTGTGGAGACACAGAGGACGGAGGGAGACGGTCAGAGGGCTCCTGTCTGGCTTACCACACACGGTTACTGATGATTTTACCGATTTAAAATGGGGGTGCGTCATTTACACATTCTGATTTATCACGCATATTGCATAAGATTATGTTCAAAGAAGTCAAATATGACGCAATAATATAAATGTTTCATTATTTACTGTATGCCTGTCCTATTCAAATACATTAGCCTGAGGGGTGTGGTAATAACTGGTGTAAGCAAAGTGACCACGGTCAAAAACGAATTACCAAGTCAACATTTTGGGATGGCCTCGTTCAAAAAACGGCTAAGAGCTTCGGTCTAGACAATTATTTTATCGTTGACATACAGTAAAATACATACCAAACTCGGCCGGTGATAAATTTTCAAGACCTCAGTCCTTACTGATTTTTGAACTCGGCCTTCGGCCTCGTTCAAAAATTCAGTAAGGACCTCGGTCTTGAAAATTTATTTACACCGGCCTCGTTCAGTATTATATAATACCTCATATCTTGCAATGAGGGTGTCCATAATTCGATACCGTCTAGGCTACAGGTACAAATAATCCACAGCCTTCCATGCACTTTTACTATTGCTATAGTTTTGCGCCCCCTCTCTCAAGATTCAAGAGTTATTAAACTCAGTTTTTCACGATCATGTTTCCCACCACTCACCGGTGAAGGCGGCCTCAGTGTGCTCGGTCATCCAGATGTTGGAGAACCTGTTGGCGGCCGGGTCGCCGGGGCTGCCGGTGACGTTGGTGGTGACGCCCTCCGGCACCACCGGGTGGAACTTGTGCCTCCGGAGCACCTCGAACGCTGCAGGATAAGAACAGGTGTTCAAGTTAGATTCGGTAGTGTTGGTAGTCAACAGGGGTAACTACAGGGTAGATAATCAATAATCGAAAGCTTATTGAGTCGAAAGGGGGGGGGGGTGAAAGCTATTCGGCCACTTACAATGTTTAATGTGCATGGCTATAAAAACACGGCAGGGATAGTGAGATTAATTTATTGCTAACTTCATATTGCACACTTTAGTTACTTTCAAAGAACTTCGCTAGTTGCTTAGACAACCGAAGACCTAGTTAATGCAACGGAATTAATTAATAGAACTGAGCCTTGTGTTATGAAACAAGAAGTCTAATGAGAAGAGTGTGATCGATATCTTACGCAACGAAGCTATCAAGATGTGTAATTATCGGAAAGGTGAATGACCGAAGACAATTAACGGTTATTATCTGCATGGGGCCCTGGCGTCGCCTGTGGGCGTTCGTTATGCCAGGCCACCGTTATCGAACCGCTCATGAGAGGACCGCATGTCAGCCACATCGATCTATCAGATAAGATAGTCAGTGCTCGATATACATACCACGGCCACTGCTGTTTGATGAGTATGCGTGACAGGGTCCACCTAGCTATTAGGATCAACGCTCAGACCGTTGGCTAGTGTCTCAAGAGGAAATAATGCAGGGGTGATATCAACGAACGGTATATTGACCGTTGCATTCTGCAAGTCTTCAGCTTAAATCGAAAGTAGTCATCTTTACGTTCTTTTCCGAATGCAGGAATGTATAAGACAGCGATATATTACGTACCTGAGTCGTCAGGAGCTCGGCTGAAGTCTCCCATCACCAGGATATCATCCTCTGCCCTCAGCATCTGCTCCAGGGCCTTCTCGACGGCCTCCAGCGGCGCCGAGATGCGCTCAGAGTTCGATTCGTTGCCGGTAGATGGTGGCTCGGTCGGCCAGCGCAGCCGTACGGTAATCACCGAAAAGTAGAACTTGTTCACCTGTGGCGCCGCATAAAAAGTCAGCACAAAGGGATGAGTCAGGCGCCGGCATAGGAAAGTGGCGCCACAACAAGCTCCCGGGTAGGTGTAAAGCGAAAACAGCCAGTAACGGCGACGGTTCGGTTACTATTCATTTCGGCGGCGCGGTGCTGTCGCTGACTCTACGAAGCCGCAGACACCGACAGAGGTAGACGATTGTCTTATTTGCCTCTCCATTTCGCAGCGAGATTATGGTGGCCCGTAACACCCATCGCTCCTCAAAGAAACAAGCTATTAGCACACTTCCCTACAACAACTAAATGCCGGTCAGTAATCCAAAGTAACTCAAACACATTCACCGAACTTGATTCACGAGCCAGCACACGCAGCCAATCATTGACCCCCGGTTCTCACCTTGAACTTGCCGACGTATGGGGCCGTGACCCCTGCCGCCGGGACCAGAGTCTGGTCTCGCAGCTCGACCCCCTTGCTGACGTCATAGATGAAGCCGCAGCGGTGTCCGTCGGAGGAGGGGGGTGAGACGCTCCATCGCCAGGCGCCACGCCAGCCCTGCCAGTTCTTCACCTTGTGCAGACTGGGCGTGTTCAGCTCCGAACAGATCTGAAATCGACAGGAAATTTGGACCATTAGGGTATGAAATCCGTAAAGGGACTCTGAGGCAGGAGCGATGAATTGATTTGTACATACTTATATCATATCTGCAGAGAGTTCGTCAAATGTATTCGGTACCTGGGAGCGATGCTGGTGGCGATGGTTTATTTTAGACGGTCGCTTCCATGTTTATTGTGATAGCTGAGAACTCGTTTTAGCGGGTGATCCGAATGCCGTAGAATAACCATTGGTAAATCTCTCGAATCTCTCGAATAATGACCTGGCACTGAAAACATCTGCGAATAGGCCACGTTTATGAATTTTCCCGAGTTCACTGAGTGTCGCCAGGTTTTATCATCTGCCGTCCATCGAACTACGACCGATATTTGTTATCTTTACAAGAGGCCACCGACCACGCAGACACTCAGTGGTGAGTGGTATATGTCGGTTTCTTTGTAATCTGTCGGAAAAGCACGGTGCTGCCACCCGTGAGATTTACATTCCGGTTCTATGTAAGTAATATGCATATGGAGCTCTCGAGGCGAAAAAAAACGGAGCGCCATTCGTCTTATGTTTCGAACAAAACCGACGAAGTGCTATCAGTATCATATGATGAAGATAAGCTAACGCAATACATATTTGAACATTGCTGACAATAATCAGTCAGACTGATATGTTACATACGTAGCGACTCGCTGACCACGATTTTAGTCATGAGCATCACCATCACATCCCTCATCCTCCACCCACGCTCCCACCGCTCTCACCTTGCCCAGTGCGTCAGCGTCGAACACCTCCTGAACGGCCACCAGTCCGAGGCCGTTCTCCAGGATCGTTCGACACACCACCTCCAGAACACCAGGGTTGGCCGCCTTGTCGGCACACAGTCGCTCCAGGTTCCAGGTGGCCAGTCGGAACACTGGCCGGCCGCCGCGCTGGCTGTTGAATACCTGGGAATGAGGGCGGGATTGGAGTGAGCGAGAAGAAATGAGGTATATTATATAGTAATTATATAGTATTATATTATATAATTATTATAGTAAACGGTCATGTAGTCATGACCGTTTTTAACGGTCATGATTTAGAATAAGTAGAACAGAAGCATATGTAAAAAAAATGTGGAAGCCTAATGGGTGACGGATATTGATAGTACACGGATACAAATGAATCAACCGGTCATTGATTGGACTGATCAAACACAAAGGAACTGATAACGACGGTATTTGGTGACGTGCGCTTATCAACTAGAATATGTGTGAAATGTTGTAGCGGCGACAGGTGTATAGAAAAGCGCTGAATTCGGACAGAGACGAGCATTCTGAATGAGCTCGTAGCAGCACTGGCACAAGTAAACTATAGCCGAGCTATTCCACTCGTGTGGACCGGGAGGACAAAACTCGCCCTAACTCACCTCCTCGAGGACGGGTCGCGGCGAGTGCAGCGCCAGCAGCTCACAGATGTCTCCGGACGCCTCCAGGTAGGGCCCGGTGGCGCCCAGACCCAGTGGTACCGAGTGGGTGCGCCGGTGGCCCAGCGGCGCGGCGGCGCCCGTCGCCGGCGGCGCGGCGCCCACCTCGGCCGGAGCCGTCACCGACGTCTTCTCGCTGCTGCTGCTCTCGTGCTCGCTGGCGTCGTCCAGAGTGAAATAGTGGCGCAGCACGTCGGCACTGCGCCGCGACACGCCGCGCACCTTGGCCAGCTGGCGCAGTGAGCGGAAGCCGCCCTTCTTGTCGCGGTACTGCAGGATCCGGTCGGCTGTCTCCTGGGAGATGAATTGGACCTGGCGAGCAAAGTAAAGGAGATATGCGTGTCAACGTGAGTCGGATGCACCACAGTTTATAACAGTGACCGGGAAAACAAGAAGCATTTCATCATGCTGTGTTACGCCGTGCGACAAAATGTGCACTAGGATACACGTTCCTAAGGCAAAAAGGCACAGCATTCAGCCTCAATAAAAAGCGTGCGATGGTTGATGAGATAAAAGACGCACTCCTCTCGTAAAAAGTTGCCGTATTTACCTGCATGAGGTCGAAAATGGTCGCTGTGTTAAGGTTGATTTTCTGTGGAGACGCGGCGCCCGATCGGCCTTCAGGGCTCTCCATGACCGGCTGCGAGGTACCGGGTACCCTGTAAATGAGACAATTATAGGTCAAGTTTACATCCAGTTTGGTATACATCTCATGTACATATTTAATTTATGGCAATGGCATACGATTTGGTGATATCTGTGGGACCGATTCCCTTCTTCCATATCATGATAAGGAGAGTACACGTTCAAGCTTTGTTACAAGAAGTAGCCGTCACTTTCCCCACGCCTGTCGGCACCGTCCACCGACCCAGCGGGTCGGCGGACCGGTCCTTGATTGTGCAACCACCTTGTATATAACGCACAGGCGCTGGCGAATCAGAACCACAGTTGCAATACAAGTCTCGGCCCACACAGTCGTCTTTCCATCCGCGCCTCCGCGACAATGGTGGAAGCGGCGGTCGAGGGGACTTGTGCCCCTCAACACGGACCCCAGCCTCTGCATCTGCACTGACATCGCAGACTGGTTAGTCCGTGCTCCGTGACGGTGTATCGCCCCTACGTCACGTCATCGACTAGGGAGCTGACCATCCTGGACTGGTCATCGTCCAGCAGCACCGTCTCCAGTGAGTAGCTCTGCCCGGCAATATTATCTGCCCTGCGGCAAGGTCATCAGCTGCCCTGGACTTGCTACGGAGCCCGCCGATAGCCTACGGCTGATCAGCCCGCACCGTCCTCCTCAACGTCATCGAGTGATGGACACCACCTCGCCAGCGAACTCAGCATCAGAGGAGAGAAGTCAAAATCTGCAACGCTGAATTCAAGACAAATTAACACCCAAATAAAGAAAATTCGTCCATTCTGAACTCTTGCTGTATTTTCGTCAAAAAGTGACAGTGAAATTGTGCTGTGAAATTTGTGTCAACTTCGATGTGTTTCAAAACCGTACTGTTTCGTTATTTGTTTTCGTCAGTGTACTGTCGTTTGTTGCACTTCATTGTGGTTGCTCACCCCAAAATTTACGGAGAAATTGCAAGTGCATTTAATTTTTGCTTGCACTTTGCCGTGTGGTATCCGTGTCCTTCAATAATATCCCACTTCCATCCCGTGCAGTGACCTTATCCATTGACAGCTCCCTCGTGACAATTCAGTTCGTTACGTCGGCCCCCTGACACGAGGAACGAGTTTGTCTCTACTATAACGAAATTAAAAGCTGCGAACCCATATCTTTTTGTTTAGATACCCCTACTCTTTCCCTTACCCAGAGAAATGAGACGGTCGCCCAGTCGACAGTTATCATTCATTCCAGCGGTCTTTTCGATTATTTTCTATCGACCACTTCTTCATTGTGCACAACACTACAGCAGGGGCTCTACTGGTTCTTCGCTATTATCGCCGCTATCTTCATCTTTTCAATGGTAATAAGTCTATGCCGTCGCTAGCCATTACACATCTTGGCTATAACGTCCCTTCGGCTGCTCTTCGAGACACTCATTTTGGTCAAATCACCATATACGTACGGCTGAGGTCATGGCGGTCTGGAGGCAATTATCTTGATGTATTGCCCCAAGTGCTTTATGCATACTCGCATCCATTAAAGCCAGATCGCCATCGACGAAAGTCATGCATTATAGTTCTTAAGGATCGTATGTGCTTGTTTGTATGTCTGATGCGCATGTAATATTGATGAGAAATGTTGTATGTTGCAGACAGCCGACCATACTCTCATCGCCTGTGCAGCATACCGTCCCACTCCTCATGGGCCACAATGGACTGTCACATACACACGGCTGACCGCGCTTCACGTCTCCACTGCCTGGATAAGGGCCCGGCCAGCAGCCGGGACGTCGAGTACCTAACTGCCGAGTCCACCACACCGCCACTGGTACCTGACTCCACGGCGATTCTCTGGCGTCGCATTCTCGGAACCACATCACCCCAGTGCGGTCCAAAAGCGCCCTACAAGTAAAATCGCCACACAATTATGGTTCGGTACCAGTGCATCGACTCGCGACGTCTCCATCGACTTCTGCTCGCTTATCATCCGGAGGTCACCTCTACCACCAGATGTCGCTGCCGGCTCCGCCAATTGGGCCTTTACTCAGCCAACAGAGTGTCTAGATCACGGAGGCGTCAGGCATGAGCCCAATGGCAACTTAGCGGCCCCCCGGCTAAGAGGCGTTGGGCGAGGGCAGACAGATGCCGGAGAGAGCGAGGGAGAGGGAGGGAGGGTGGGAGGGAGAGAGATAAGCGGAGCGGGCGGGCTGGGGCGGGAGGCACGAGGGGAGCGCGGGATATAGGACAGTCAGAGACGAGCCAGCGAAGGGGACGGACCATCGGTCATGGTCTCAACAATTTTTTTTTGTTCTTCTTTGTTTTTTTTCCTGTCGTGACCCCACTGTGGCGGGTGGTTCCAGGAGCAGGAACTGCCACCAGTGGGCGATCGGCCTTTACTCAGGCTGCAACAGTCGACATCACCGCCCGCTCCGGCCGGCCGCGCCTCCTGTCGCTGTCCGCTGAAGGCGACCTCATCGGCTCCGCCATGGGCCGAGACCTCGGACATCGAGATCCGGAGGACCTCCACATCTCCACGCTGCGAGCAAGTCACCCACCAGCTCGGGACGTCTGCCTCTTCACCCGGTCGTGTGTTGTGTATATTCTGACGCCTCCTATTGTCGGCTCATGGGGGGAGGGGAGGTAATGTCGCAAGGCTTTGTTCAGAGGACTATTGCGACAAGCGCGTATTGCCTTGGTCAGGTGCGTGCGGCCGCTGCAGGTCCGGGTTCAACGAATGACCGGCTCTGCAGAGGCTTCCGCGCGCGGTTCCTCGAATAGGCTCACACGCTCGCCGCATGACGTCCCTTTGGTCGCACTGTGCGTGCAAGATCTTGTATATAAGTGTGTATGAGAGAGAGAGAGAGAGAGAGAGAGAGAGATAACTGTATTTGACAGACTCGAGGTCCAGTACCAGTCACATCACATCAAAATTGTACCACTGTACAGGGCAGAGCACCACGCTCTCCGAATCGATGAATAACATGCCAGATCACTTTCATATAGGGAGGATACGATTCGGTTGTCCGTCTGGCTCAGGCGAGTCATGAATCCATAGACGGCCTTTCGATACATCGCCATAAAGTTATCGATTCTTTCATTCACAAACATGTCGGACGCACTACAGAAACGATGATAACCAAAGAACATTCTAGCTGCATTGTTGAAACAAACAGTAAATTTCCTTGACACAGAAGAGCGATAAGAATGCCACAGATGCACACCATGTACATTAGAACAATACGTAGAGTATAAGTACCGTTTTACATTATATGAGCACATTGCAAATTTCCTGATCAGGGAGTTTGCCCGACAACAAAGAAGACGATACTGATATTGGATTTCCAGATCATCAGTTTTCTTGGGGCTGCTGGTGATGTGGAAGCCAAGATATTTGTACTGATCAACATAAGCTAGAACATTTCCACACAGCACAATATCAGGCAGGATCATATTTCGAAACAGTGGAGGCAGAATCGACATACACACTGATTTCTTGGTATTGAACACAATATCATGATTCCCTGCATAGTCAGCACAAATGTCAACCATTTTTTGCAGACCCTGTGGCGTAGGGGATAGGAGCACCATGTCATCCGCATAATATAGGTGGTTTATACTCCCCAGATAATGACATCCTACACCACTCAAGTCCAATTTTTCTGACAGCTGGTCAGTATAAACATTAAACAGGTACGGAGAGAGTATCCCGCCTTGCCTTACGCCATTCGTCACAGAGAACTCCTCAGAGAGGGTTTTACCCCAAAGCACATGATACCTCTGTGAGTCTCGCCACCGAACGAGGAGCCTTACAACGCTATTATCCATTCCCCTACTCAACAGCTTATCAAATAGAGTCCAATGGTTCACGCGATCAAACGCCTTTCTAGCGTCCAGAAAACAGACAAAGACTGCACTCCTATTGCGCAAATAGTGGTCCACAATTTCTTTTAACGCATACACAGCCATATCGGTGGAGTGGCCCTCCTTAAATCCAAACTGATGATCGCTAGTGAGAAGACTTGCTTTACATCGAGTGAGTATGACCCGCTCCAGTATTTTAGAGCTCACCGTGGCCAAAGCTATTGGCCTATAGTTATCCTTATCAGTCAATTTGCCTGTCCGATCTTTCACAATAGGGCGAAGTATCACCTTCGACAAAGAAGGAGGCAAGACGCCATGTCTCACCATCATCGAGAAACATAACGATAGATGCGTAGCACATGGAACACCCGCAAACTTAAAATGTTCAGCAGATAGACTGTCACAACCTGGAGAGCGACCTGACGACAGCTCATGGATCGATTCTAAAACCTTAGGAACCGAGAACATATGAATTGTCAAATACACACTGTGCTCGAGACCAGCTTTACGGACACACTGGCACGCCGAACCTCAAAGTAAGTCGGCAATCCCCGGCCGACATATCCTGCAGACGTTTAGCTATTGATTAAAATGAAACTTTGTCGCACATAAAGTATTGAGACGCTTTCCAAACTAGCACAAATGTAAAATATACGGTACATGGGCAGAAATAAGTAATTATAGCATCCGACTGTCTCGTAACCGATTCCGATATCATAAATTGGACCCGCGTCGAACCGCTAACCCTGATAACGCCGCGCTTTGATATATCGCACAACATTTTAATGGAAATGAAGAGCTCTTCGGCCTACATTAATATCAAGTCCAAAACAACAAAAACACGTGAAGGTCGTAAACAAGCACCTAAAATTGCACGGTCGGCACGTGACCCCATTTAGGAAAGCTGTGCGGTGAATACTAACGCAACAGAGCTGCTCAAATAAAACTTCCCGGTTCTCTCGAGCGCCAAAGGTCATACAACCTCTATACCTACTCCTCAGTCTCCACACATCCGGCGCCAGGGACCCGTGCCAACCCCTCGCACTCAATCGAGCCATCACAAAGCTTCCCGCCAGCCGAGTCATCGACCGTTAGATTTCACACCTCATCGGCAAGGAGAAAGTGTTTTGGACCGCCACGTTCCATTGACCTTGTGTGTTTCCTGTGGCTGGTCGCGAAGAGGAAAGGGAGAGCGCATGGGAGTCGTGCTGGCTAGCGGCTCGAGCCCATGAGTAGGTAGTTGCGGTCGGAGCCAGACGCTATCCGAGACAGGCGCCGTTCCGTTAGAGTTTGTCACGGTGACTGTCAACCGGTCATCCGCAAGCAGCAAACCGATTGGCGTGTGGGCTTTCGACAAGAAATAAGCGTCCAGCGAAGCCGTCCAGCGGTGCCGTCCAGCGGTGCAAGACGTTATGCGAGAGACTCATGTATGTTACGCGCTGTATACAGTATCTCACATGGCTTGTCACAATAACTCGCTGCGCTCCGTCCCCACTGACCTGTTGTTGGGTCGTCCGACGCACAGTCCCGCCCTGATCCGGTGGAGCCGCGCCGCTCCGACTCCGTTCACCAGCGCCAAGTCCTCGGGCTGCTGGAAGCCGCCGAGCGCGGCCCGGTGGGCCACGATGTTGGCGGCGAGGGGGGCTGACAGACCGGGCAGCGCGGCCAGCTGCTCCTCGGTGGCTGTATTCACGTCCAGCGGCGCGTTCTGCGGAGAAAAGGAGACATAGGTGAGACAATTAAGGAGACAGACGGGTGAGACAGTCAGGGAGACAACACGGTGAGACAATCAAGGAGAGGCCTGAGGGATGAGAACAGGTGATGTCAGACTCAGACATTGGGACATGTATCGGGGTGTCAAGCGTGGAAGAACGGGTGCCCGGTTTCGTCGTCCAGTTGGGATCCATCCAAACAGTTTCTGGGCATCGTTGACAGCTACCGCAGTTTATTAACTGAGGCAAATTATCATTAAGTTCAGCGCCGTATAAACTGCTGAGTTCTTCCGCCAAAATACATTGCCCTCTTCAATTACTGGCCTATTGGGCTGTTCGCTCCAGCCCTTAGTCGTTCTCCACACTTAACCAATTTCACACAGCCCAATAAGTTCCCAACTCGGCCAGTTAGCTCCGCCAGCTCGGCTGCCGGTGGCAGTCGTGTCACGTTACTTTAAATCGATGTCGAGCATAGCTCCAGATTGAGATGGTGCGGCCGCTCTCGAGAAATCTTGGAGGTAAAGCCATGCTATAGAAACTCAAGAAAGTATCAGGTCTAAAATGTTCATTGATCCATATCCCACTTTATCTTAGCCGCAAAACAGGCCAGCTGATTTAATATTAGCCAAAGATAAAGGGCCAAAGATAAGACAAAATATACCGCGTGTCCGCCAAGGAATAGCATATTCTGGTAAAAAAAGAAACAAAAAATTAAATGTATTGGCTAAAGTCATGGCATTATCAGTGAAATGTTCTTGACATAAGTACAATGAAAATCAAATATCGTTAGTGTATGAAGCCCACTATCGACGTCAGTTGCGCGATACCATTATAACAATGAGAGGACGGCAAGAAGTGGCATTAATAAGACATCTGTAAGTAATTGGAACTCGTATGGTTTTATGCACCACATTATGTCGCGCTGAAATGAGTTCCGTGGAATTTAATAAAGCCCGGGATATTACATCATTTCCCTAAGTGAGATATCAAAGTCGGCATTTAAAGGCAGTAAACCTCCAGAACTCAAAATCGAAAAGATAATTTTCGTAATCGATTTGTAAAAAAAAAATACTGAGAAAAACAACAAATAATTAAACATAACTAAAAATTGATCTCTTTCTTTTACCCCTTGACCACACGTAACCATATGTAGGTCACAATTGTGAACGAGCAGTCGCGACTGGTCACGAGCCTAGCTTCACGGTCCGCCATATACGTCTCCCGTGACGGACCGTCCCGTGACACGCGTCACGACCAGTGACGCGGCTTCCGTGTGACCCGACTGCGCAGTTGTTTCTCCGTTCACCGAATCTCGTGATAGATGAGTCAGAACAGGACCTGGGGATCTTTCGTGTAAGCATTCAAAACTATATAACTGCTCACTTTAATTCTAGCAATAGCAATGTCCTTATGTTGTGAAACTTCAACATCCTACTGACGTATGCACCCTTTACCAGATCCGTTCTTTGTGGAAATATTGAGCTGTGTTTACCGTAAGGTATAAACTTGAGTCATCTGGTCAGCAGCGTCCCTGTTTTCTGTTTACTGTTGTGCGCAGTGCGTACCTATATCTCCCAACATGAGGTGCGAGCACCGTCCGCAAATAGTCAACACCTGATATATAACACCTGATATACGGACCTGTAGCGTAATTCCGAGATCTAAATAATGATGGCAAAACAGTGCAGAGCGAGTATATGAGACATGGTTCTCAGTAGTCGTATACGCGGAAAGAGTAAAGGACATGTGGAAATAGCAAAAGAGACTGTCATATATGCAGTAAACAGGCCTAAAACAATTATCATGATACAATTGGAATACTTATAAACTCAGCTTAGGATTAATCATAAACTAACTACGTACTATGAGGGTGCCTGCAGGACTTTGAAGTTCGTACCACTTAAACTAAAAGCAATTACAATCGGCCGGTCTTGTTGCGGACGTAAACGTTCAATATATGCTCGCCCAAGCTTCTAAACAATTAACAAAATACCCAGAAACAAACTCAAGATATAACATACATAATATAACTTGAAGTATATAGGAGAGCCGCCATTCCAGGTATACCTTGGAGTAAACTTAGTCGAACAAGTCAGCACCTAGTCGTTCGCAACTCAGATCATCAATTGTCTCAATATCACATATAATATATTAGGCAACATATCCATTTTTATTAGTAAATCAATCGCTGCTGCTATATTTAGAATTACCACCGGAGCTACGACACCGAATCAATACAAATCGGCAGATGCTTATATGCCTCGCCCGATGGGTCAACCAACAGCACACTGACCCAGCATCCCCGCGGCCACCCGCCACAGGTGGTCTATCATCGGACACGACGCTGCAGGACCGCTCCCCGTCGGCACCGACAGCGTCCCGCTCGCCGTCGGCGCCGACAGCGTCGTTAGCGTTAGCTCGCCCTTCATCCACCGTGGGAATACGGCTATAATGGTGCCGTAGTACGGTTCTGGAGCTGCCCACAATATCCTATAGCGCTACCGTCAATAGATATCAGGGATCCACCCAGGATCACCAAATGGCCCTTGCAAGTTATACCGAAACGGGTTGACGAAATACTTTGTGCTAAGCTCTTATTGTGCCCATGTGTAAGAATGCGCTTTGCGCAATTTGCAACAACACTACGTACATTTTGGTACGGAATAATTAGTTTATGTATCGTTACACATCATTTGAAATTGAGAATATTTTAGCATTTCAAACGAAGTTTCATCCTGCAGACTGATTGTCTTTAAAACGGGAAGCTCAGACCACTCTCCATGATAAATTCATCGACCCACGCACATTAGATCCAGCGGCGACGCGTCGGCGCTTTACAATGACTCGGTGACGGTCTGTGTCCCGGACGTACTGGGGAGTGGGAGGGGAGTAGGGGAGGGGGATCGCCCATCGACCCGGCCAGTTCCGTCTGCCGCTGAGCAGCCCACCATCCGACGGTGGCTCCTACGGAGACAGAGCTATCCGGATGTAAACACGGAGCTGTTTGTGTGTGATCCTGATCACAGACCGCCACTGAGAAAATCGCCGGTCAACGAGACGCTGATGATTCTACAAACAAGTGGACAGGGATGAGCTATCCTGAATACCGTCTATTGAACGAATCTCCCGGAACTTTAGCTGCCACAACATGCATCCTGAATCCAGTCATCTACGATTGTGGCTACTACACCCATACTCTAAAAATGACCTATATTCTTGACCAGTGTGACAGCACTTGTCCTGAAGCTGATCAAAAGCTGAAGCTAGCCATCCAAGAGTGTGACATCACTCACCCTGAAGCCGGCGCCGAGCATGTTGAACGTGGCGCTGATGTCCTTCCTCCTGAGACGGCGTCTGAGCGATCCGCGGAGGTGGTGACTGCGGGTGCTGGCACGCTCCGGGCCACCCTGCTCCATAGCAGGCGAGCTGCTCTTCTGGCCCATCGCTGCGGAAAGAAGCGACAGCCGTCAGAAAAGCTTGGCCACGAGATATGGGTTAGGAAAGGTTGCACAGCTGAGTGCGGTTAAACGGATATCTTACCAAAGAAAAATGTGGCAGCAGAAGCGGTGGGATCAAATGGGGGTGAAAGCAAATGTGTTCAGCCTGATTATTTGAAACAGTACCAGCAAACCATCAACTGTAATATACACTCGGCCCAGCAGTGAATTCAGAGCAAGAGCGAAATATCATTCATATCTCTCAAACGTTCTACCCACACAGCATAAACGCTGGAGCATGGTGCCAACTTATGACCCGGATCCTACAAATGCTGGAATTCAGTAATGGGTTCACCGTGTCAGAAACGTGGACGGTAAACGCGAGTGCCACTCAAATGGTGTCTGAATGACGCATGGTTCACAGCTCACCGGGCCATGACCCGGCGAACTATGGCTGTCGAATACCGCATTAAGGATGGCGCCCCACACGCGTGCCGTCCCAATAGCTTTTCCAGCCGAGGGAGTCGGTTATTACGTGTGGAATGCAATTCCCTTTCAAAGAGAAGGATTGAAATAAAATATTTAATAGGGCTTTAACCCTATTACTGGTGTGGAGAGGAGCGATTTTTCATGCAAGCTGTCATGGGCCTGATGGGCTTCAGCCATCAAAAAGGCGTCAAAAGGATTGGGTTGGCGCAAAAGCTACGCTTCCAAGAGAGTTGAACTCATCTTAGGACGTGCATTACAAGACTGCATATCAACACAGCCAGCCTGTCACTGGCGGCGTGCCTGCAGTCGGGAGCGGCAGCGGTCCGGGGACGATGCCACTAAATCATCCGGCCCGTTATAGCGCAGTGACCCGTCCCTGTCACAGGACCAGTGCCAAGATGACGGTATATTGCTCGGACCTCTGCCTGGCCGGAAGTGTCTGAAGGATAGCACTAAGATCCATTCGTCATACATTGTAAGCTACGCCAATAGCAGCCCTTTCATCTAAGATGCCCATGCATTGAAGCCCCAAAATTGAAACCACCAACAGCTTCGTCTTTAAAAGAAAGCTACCAAGGCGTCAGAGAAGCAATTGGCCATCGTAATAGCCTTACTTTTTCACTTCTTATTGCTCCCTAACTGTCCGCGGCATTTCCAGATACTCGAGAACCGTAACGACTCCTCTTTCCTTCGCAACCCCTGTCCACCATTTCCGCTCCGTCTCCGACATCGAGTCCCTGTCTCGGTGACCGTGACAAACTCTGAGACTAATGAGCGTCATCGGATGCTTACTCGTCAGTGGAGAGCTAGAGCCTTGATGGGCGCCAAAGGATGGAGGTCACCGGAGTCGGGGCCACCCCCAAGGCAGGGTCAACGAGGACACCAAACAGAACCCGGAAAGTCACATGGTGCCGCATGGAATTTCTGCCGAGGCAACCTGCCAGTGTCATCCGGAAAGACCTCGAATAACCGGCGACTTTGCTGCCAGTACATGGTCATTGGCCAGTATGGCGGAATGGACACAGGAAAAGTGCGAAACCTGTTTTTGACTTGAAGGGCTTCTCATTTCAGAATTGATTCTTTTTTAAATAACAGTTTCAACCTCTGAATTAGATGAGTGGGTGAAACATTGCCTATGCATGCGTCATTTCATCGGTCATGAGCGTACAATCAGCAACAATAGTAACATCAACGAATGCCACAAATGTAATGTAAGCCAAAGATCCTGAAGCACGCAACCAATCGTCCCTCAGCATGCGGTATTATCACAGCTGATTAGTCTGGCCATATAGCCGTACGGATATCTCAGTCAGGTGACATATTGGCTGAGCGGTTCGGACAGTAACCTCACCGGCCTGAGCGCCAGACATGCCGGCGGTATATCACACACCGAAACATCGGCATTCCGCCACCGAAACATAGTCCTCCCTCACCCATCAGCGAGCAGCGGTACTGGCTGAGACAGAGATCCAATAAAGAAAAAGAGACATACAGTAAAGTAATCTTGCCTTGAACATCCCTAATGATAAAGGGGGTCTACAGGTTTTTATTCGTACATCACTCAGAAAGAGTCTATGTATACCACGCGGGCGAATACAGGAATGAATGGAGCTATTTGTGCCCTATTCATCAGCTGCCACATTCAGTGATGATCACAGAGCCGAGGTCATGACCCTTTGTCAATGCCCTGGCCAGCGATGGCTTGGTGGTCTGTATTGCACATCAGTAGCATCGCCCATGGGGCCTGTGAGGTAGCAACACATCGCCCTCCCCGACAGCTAGCGCAGGATTTCTGTTGTCGAGACCGGTTAACGACAGAAGACAGCGGTCAGTGACGCTTCATCCAAACCTCCCTGTACGTGGCGCAATAAAGCATGAATATTGAACGCGAACTTCCGGCTAGCTCGTGACGTCACCACAGTGACGCAAACCTACGTCACACGAGCAGTGCCGAGGACCAATTAGCAGCCTGGCCTGGATTGGTCGCTTGGCGGCACGCGACTCAGGCTGACAAAGACCCCGCTCCGCCCCCAGGCGAGGGTCGGGGCCGTCGCGGCGATCCGATACAAAGGTCCAGGACAGCTCGTCGGTTCCTATTATGAAAGGGCAGGCAGTCGTCGGTGCTGGGGTCGATCGGGAAATCATTCAGTCGGCAGGTTTAGTTCCGGGTTTCGGTTTCGGGTGAGTTCGCGCTGGGTGTGTACTGTGTGTGATAAAGACCTCGTGCCAGTGGTGTGTCAATAGATCAAGGGATCTGTTGTATCTGCAAAATGTAGTACAGTTGGTACACACATGTGTCACAGACCAGGCTTAGAAGTGTGGAGTGCGATGATCTGAGACATCCCAATGTCCACACAAGGGTGGGTACAGACACGGGTCACGCAATCCTGCAAGTGACGCGTGCGGCCGCACGGCGCGAGGACTGGATGACATACGAGGACGGCACAAGGACGAGGTGACACGCAGAGCGAGTAACACGAGCTCAGCGTGATAATGTCGTGAGGCAGGGCTGACACCGTGGCCTAGCACCCAGCAACGAACCTTCTCCACCCGCCTATCCTATTCTCATAAATCATGAAAGTTTTGGTAGTTTTCTGCATCGTAAGACGGTGCCGCAAAAACATGCATGCCTTGCGGTACAGCCTAACTGCAGGCGTTGACTACTAACGCCATCTATGGACTGGAAGTTCATATGCATCAAAAGCTTTGCGGTACAGCATAACTACAGGTGTTTGGTCCGCTGCCTCTTGCCGACTAAGTAGCAAGATTATTGTTGTCACACAAAGGGGAATAACTGCAAATACGTTCAAGACCCAGGTAATCCGTATAAGATATTTTGGTCTAAAAACCCACGTCTATTTCTGCATCCACGCAAAATAGCCACATACGGCAGCCCTGCGATGACTCGCCGAAGCTCTCTGCTGGTGCCGGTAGATCTGAGCGTTGGCCAGACAGCTGGTTGGACAGTTGTCACCATGTGACGCAGCTGTAGGTATACCTATACGCCACCCTACGCCTGTAGGTATACGGACGCCACCCGGCTGTCACGGCCGCCGTAACACCAGACGAGTGCCGCCTCAGCTACCAGCACCGGGCCCCACTCAATTCGGTTATTGAGCTCGATGAAATGAACCAATTCTTCAATGGATGGCATATTAGTCCCATAGACTGCGTAGAGTTAACGGTAACAGCGCACTTTTCATTGAAAGAGCGGGCATTTTATTGAGCATTTCTCGGAAAAGATCGAATGAAGAGGCGCAGAATGGATCAATAAACATCGATCTACAAATCTAAAAACTGGGGCTCATTAGCGTCCTTGGCAGGTGTTACCATTATTAAGCTGCCAAATGGTCCGTTTTACTCCACAGCATCGAACGTAGCAGCGTCTGAGCCCATTCCAAATTCACCGGAAGTCGCTGGAAGTCGCCATAACTACCATAAGCCGTCATAAGTCCCCTGTGGCGCGATGCAACGTCACAACATCCTCCCCATCGCCCCTCGTACGATGCTCGCCCCACTTACGACACTGCCACCCCTCCCGGTTCGATATTCACGTCGATAGAGTGGGACCACGCCGGCCCTGGACCACATCTTACCGCATCGAGCGGTGGTGTGAAGCCGACGACGACGGTAGGAATAGGGCATGGTATAGGTGGGGCGCGCGGTAAGAGCGATCGTAACCTAAATACGACGTTCGCCGCCAATGCCACCAATGAGGTTAATAGTCCGACTCAGTAAGACATTGTGCTCGAATGCAGATATTTAACCGCATGTGATTTGGAGCATGAGTATTGTGATTGCTCTCATCAGATCCAGTAAGAATTTCGACGATTCCACATAACTTGCAGATGAATTAATAGTACAGTCCATCTTGCATATCAGGGAACATGGTGAAGCAAATGAACGAAGCAAATTTGACAATTGAAGCTCGATTGACCTTACAGAGTAGCAGGTGGAATGCTATGCTACAATGGTTTAATAAGCCCAACTCTGCCATCGCGTGAATTCTGTAAGCGAGAGCGCATGCTGGCTGAATACCACTGAGAAATATGCATTCAAACTCATCAAATCAACACTCTGTCAGATCCAGCGAGCGAGAGGTCAGGCTTAAAGTTTCCGCCGACCGCTGAGAGAAATGGCATTCTGAATGCCAATTCACAATGGATTACTGCCAGCAACCGGCTTTACAGGAATCGCTCCGTCACTATCGTCTGAAGTCGAAGCCGGTTGACAAATTACCAAAGATCCGCATTGACAGCGGTGAAGCTAATGTCAACTCACTCGTCTGGGAAGGCAACGAACTTGCAGTCATTGCCACGTCTCATAGTCCATCTGTACGACTGGCAAGTGGTGATCTCATTCAGCCGAGAGGGATGCTTTCTGTCGGCCGACTATTTACTTTTGCGGCGGGTGCACTACGGATTGAGAGGCCCAATCTGGAGTCTGAGGAGCTCACGTCAAAGCCGTGAGTGCTATGGTAATGGTGAATGACGCTTATTGTGTTGTTGAATGCGTTGAG